ATTAATTTTCATACCTGAGCTTTTATTGTGTGCAGTTCTAAAAATGTACCTTTGTGGTGGTTGTGATATGTTTTTTTTTGTATCAGTTTCTGGTTTGTATTTCTTGGTGTTTTCAATTATTTCTCTACTTTAGTGTGTCTTTATTGCTTCCTAATTAAAACCATTGTTTCTCTCAGTCAGACATGTTTCTCTGCCCTTCACCGACATCTGCTCTGAATCATTTAATCAACCAGCTACTTTTTCTCTGTTACCAATCTTTCTAGTAATCGTACTCCTTGTTGAAAGATCCTCTGCTCGCCTTAGTCATGTCCATTTGGGTGATTTTGTTTGATTAGCTGTTAAGATCTCAGACTTGTTAAAGGTACTCACTGCAAAAAAGAAATGAGTATTCAAAAGATTATCTTGAACTATATCAAATAGTGCAGTTTAACATTTTACACAAGTGGTTTTCCAGATTTTTTTAAAATTTAAATGTGTCTAAAACAAAATATGTTGTAGCTAATTTTAATACCAGGCAATTAGCTTTTAGATAATTACCTTTAGTAACTTTATGATGGAGGAAAAACTACAAAACTCTAGTTCCTAAGAGCAGGATGTCAGATATATTCAAGAATTTAGTGAACGCCAATTAAAATATCACGTCCTCGTCTAACATTTTACTAACCCTAACAGGCCAAACTCACCCACCCTTTATTTACTTGTGCTTGAATATTGTTTCTGACTTTCTGGTTGATTCTGATAAAAGCACCTTCTAAATTAAGTTTGAAGTTAAATAATAAAAAAAACACAGCCACAAATTGTGTCTTACAAACATTTTGCTGTAAAGACAAATCACTAAAGTATTTTTTTCCTCTCGTTTTTACTTTTCATCCAAGTTTTTACTTGACAATAAATTGATATGTTGTAATTTCATGACCACAACCCTTAAGTATATCCTAACTGACAGAACGGGATCATAAAGTTCTGTTTCTTTCATGTGTGTCAGCCAGACTAAAGAGCAGCTCTGACAGGGACTGATGGGAAAATCAGATTTTGTTTGTAGGAGGTTGTCTCCTCATCTTACGGAGAACCAAGATGCATTAAAGCAACATCACTGCGTGCGAGGACCTGAGTGGAGAGCATAATAGCTTTTGCAGAAGCGTGCGTGTTTGCTCCTCCCCAACGTCAGAGAATGTTTGATTAATTAAAAGATGAGAGTGTGTACTGTTTTCCTTATGTTGAGACATCAGTGGACTTACAAAGTCATAGTGTGAGGCTTTTACTTCATTGGGAGTAAAACAAAAAACTTAGACAGGATTTACAGTTAATGTAGACTTGGATTAATGTTAGTTATAAATTAAAAAAAAAATATACTGCTCTGACACAAAAAACAAGAAAAGAAAATGTTACACTTTGGAGAATCCTGGACTAATTTTCAATAATGGGACAATTTATTAGAACCACATAGCCATTTCTGCAACAAGTATGTTTTTACAGACATGAATAACCGCTACTGCAGCCCAGGTTACTGCAAATACTCACACATGGAGATGTAACAGTCTTCCCACTGTCTTCATAATTACACATGTAACACAATAACTTCACCCAGTCAACACAGAAGCACATATGTAAAGCTGCAGGAGTCATGTGATTTGATGGCTGTAATGTAACTGGGGCCTCACTTTGCTCAATCAATAGTCCGGGTCACAGGACACCCTCATCAATAATGAACATGACTGATTTTGTGGTAACAAAATGTCTTTCTTGGATAAATACTGTAATGATCTAGTACAAAGCAAATATATTTCAAATGTATGTTTCTTTCCCCCTGCAAAATCTACCTAAGAGTTGCTGTAACTTGAGAATAGATTCATCTTGTCTGCTGGATTCCTTAGACAGAGAACTACTAATTGGCTTTTATGTATGTGAATGTTTCTGTAAAGTGCCCTGAGACAACTTTGTTGTGATTTGACGCTATATAAATAAACTGAATTGAATTGAATTGAATATTAGTAATTATTATGCACTTTTTTTTCTTGTTGCCTTAAACATCTTTGCATTCATTCGACCTTTATTTATACAGGTTAGTCTCATTGAGCCACGAGGACTCATTTACAAGACAGACTTGTTTTAAACAAAGAACACAGAAGTGTAACAACCAATAATAGACAGTCGTATAAAAAAACATGTAAAATGAAAATTAAATAGAATAAATGACAAAATATGAAACAAAAAGAGCATAAACTATACGAAAACAGCTACATTATAAAACGGTGTAAAATGCTAAAAACAGGAACAAGACTGCGTTGGATTTTGCCAAGAAATTAGCAGATGTGTGAAATCCCTTAGAGAGGTCAAGGTCAAGAGGTTCAGCTTTTTTTGCAAGGTCTTCCAGGATACAGGAGTAGGAGAAGGCCCTTTGCCAAGTTCAGTCCGCACTGAGGGAACACTGCAAGT